TGGAGACACGTGCGGTTCTGGCCGTTAGGGCGGTTGGAGCGTGGCACGCGCTTGGGGGGCTGTGAGACGGGGCCCCCCGAACCCAGCAGCCCCACCCCACCGCTTGCCCACGGGCCGCACAGTGAGCCCACGCGGGCCGCATGTTGTGCAGGCCTGCCTTAGAGTCATGCTTAGCATTTACTTTACTCTGGTTTCTCTTCAAATCGTATAAATCTTTCGCCTTTTACTTTGTCCTTCCTCAGGGAAAGAGAACAGATCCTCAGTACACCCTAAAGCAAATCCTGGAGGTCTTTATTTATCTTCACAGTACTTAGGCAGAGCAGTGAGTACTATGTGCCTCATTTATAAACACCCCTGGGTCTCCGTTAGAGTTTCATGTCTTTGCCTGTCTCTTTCTTACAAAGCTTAGTAAGAAACAGCCGTGTGAAGTGCATGAATCCAACACAGATTGTGTGTAACCAAAATGACATAGATGGGTGCAGGGAGGGAATTTTCCTTCTGTCTTTGGGATTGGTCCCAGAAGGCTTATGCTTTCTAGTTTGTGGGGATTTTGTGGTTTGTCAGCTCTCTCTCCAAAGCAGAAATGAAAAAAAGATGTGCCCTGGCCCAAGGCTTCTGTTCCAACGGACAAGTTTCTGCTGCATCAAATCATCAGCAGTGAAGAGCGTGCTCTATATAGGACCAGATCCTGCGTTCTTTGTGCATTCAGCCTCCCGTTTCAGTCACGGTGTTGGGTTCGTGCCTGTGTGTGCTTTCTTTTTCCTTATTTATTTCAAATGTCTAAAATTTCGCCCTCTGGCTAAGGGCGTAGTAACAGAACTGATTAAACACACATGCAAACCTGTCCCTGTTCAGAGGCAAAAGAGAGGAGAACGGTCCCTAAAACAACCAGTCCTTCACCTCTCCCATAGCCAGGCAAACCCTTTTCACCCATTCGTCCATTTCATCCACTGGGTTTGTCTTTAACCAAGATTGTAAACTCTTTGGGGCAGGTCTGTCTCACAATCGGGGCCCTCTCCATCCTTTCTTATAACGCTGAAAAAAAGAGATTATGCCTTTAAAGATTTTCAAGTTTGAGTCTGCTAGACCCAGGCGCACTCAGAAATCTGCTGTCTCTCATACACGCAGCAGGCAGTGTGTTCTAGTGGTTAGAAGCACTGGCCTGGAAGTCACAAGGCCTGGCTTCTGTTCCTGGCTCTGCCACTGACCTCCTGTGTCCCCCTGGGCAAATCACTTTGCCTCTGTTTTCCCACCCTTTGTCTGTCTTGTCTGTTTAGACTAAGAACTCTTTGGGGGCAGAGACTAGCACAAGGGGTCGCCAATCTCAGCTGAGGCTTGTAACAGGTACTGGAATACAACTTAAAACACACACAGGCAAAGGTGAAGTTTCCACAGGTGTCTAAGGGTATGTCTTCACTGCACACAAAGTCCAAGCTCTGACTCCAATCGTCCGACCGTACACAAATCAGTCTGACCAGGGTCAGCAGGCACTCGGGACCCAGGTCCTAAGACCCTGCTGGGGGACGGGTCAGAGCTCGAGTCCCGCTGTGCCTCTGAGAACCAGGTCCAGCAATTTAAACCCAGTGCGGTGTGGACGCTCTAGCACGAGCTTGGAAACACTGAGTTCATGAGCCTGGGTCCCACAGACCCAGGTTTACAATGCTGTGTACACAAACCCGAAAAGGGCCCATGTGATCCATGAGACGCTATCTTCTTTAACCCCTCTGGTGATGGCTAGGCCACATAGAAGCTGATGAATCTGTCATGCTCCTGTATCAGATATAAGACTAACTCCAGCTGTTGCTTATACACACCAGATGTGTTCACCATAAGATCCTTTGATGCTCTGCCAGGTAGGGTGACCAGATGTCCCGATTTTATAGGGACAGTCCCGATATTTGGACCTTTTTCTTATATAGGCGCCTATTACCCCCCACCGCTTTCCCAATTTTTCACACTTGCTGTCTGGTCACCCTACTGCCAGGTGTGGCTGAAGTTCATTTAAATGAGGCATTTTACACACAGTGCCTCCTAGTGGCTGCATGGCATCATATGGATTAGCATTCCACTACGCAGCCCTCTATAGCGTTGGCTAACACAGGTGGGTCTTGGAACTCAGGCGGTAGAGGCTCATGGATTAAGATCCAGAGATCCGAGGTTTGCTGCCGACAGCCCACCCGCAATGTGAATGGAACATGATGCATCCGGATTACAAATGCTGGTTGCTTACAACTGGATCAAGCCACGTAATTTCTTCTTACTACTCTGTGTTACTGTCCCTAGGAGAGATGCAGCATCTGTGTTGCCAAATATATTTGTGGCCAAAAGGAGCTTTTTGGTGACATGGATCCTAGAAATGAGGGCGCAGTCGTCAGATCATTATATACATGGGGTGGCTCTATGTCTTTTGTTGCCCCAAGCATGACAGTCAGGCGGCCTTCGGCGGCATGCCTGTGGGCGGTCCGCTGGTCACGCGGATTCGGCAGCATTTCTGCGGGTGATCTGCCGCTCCCGCGCCTTCGGCGTACCCACTGCCGAATTGCCGCCGAAGCCGCGGGAAGGGCAGACCTCCCACAGGCATGCCACCGAAGGCTGCCTAACTGCCACCCTCACGGCGACGGGCACGCCGCCCCCCGCGGCTTGCCGCCCCAGGCACGCGCTTGCTGTGCTGGTGCCTGGAGCCGCCCCTGATTATATACCTCTTGCAAATATATGTAGGCCCAAATTTTCAAATGCAGCCACTAATTGTGAGTGCTGGGAGCTCATTTTAACACCACGGGCCACAAATTCCAGTTCAAGTCAATGGGAGCTGCAGGTGCTTTGTACCTCTCTATATCAGGCCCCTTAAAAAGCGGGGCACCCAGAATTTGAAGCCCCCCAAATGTAGTGACTAAACTTGAAAACATTAGCTCAGTTTCTCCAAGTTACACCCACTGAGCAGTGTAAGTGGCATAGCTACGTTTGGTGGTGCGCTGTGTCTGCTTTCTCCTCATGACAGCTGTGGTTCCTTCCACAGTGCAACAGCTTCCAAAAGCTAAAGAGATTTTTCTTTGAATGCAGCCAGGAAGGCAGTCAATTCTTACAACTGCTTCAAGGCTTGGCTTCCGGCAGAAGCAGATCCAATTTGTCATCCAGCGGCTGTCAAAAGCACTGTAAAATCCTTGGACTCCTCCAGTGGAGAGAACAAACAAACCAATGGGAGATCGGTTGAGAGTGCAGGGACTGATTCTCCACCACCTTGAAACTTGTGTAGTCGCTTACACTTGGGCAGAGTGGGTGTGCCGCGATTAGTTAGTGTTTTACACCTACTTTGCACTGGTATAAATGATGACACCACAGTGCCTGGGAATGGAGAATCCACTATCTCTGACATTGACCCTGCTTTTCAGTACAGACTTCCTTTGTCTGATGTTATCTGGGATGGAAACACATGCTAGAGCTCAAGGATGCTATCATGTATTGGCTGAGTTCCTGATCCTGCAACAGGATCCACACAGAGAGAGCTTTATGCTTGCTCAGAGTCCGCTGAAGTTAGTTGGATGCTGTGCAGATGTAAGGATCTAACGGCTGGGATACATTTGCAGGATCAGGGCCATAGTTCATAGGTGATGATGTGGGCCCTAGAGGCTGGCCCATAGAAAGGATATAAACCCTAGTACTACAGACAGCTGATGGAGATTCTCCTTTAGCCTAGATGATATAGACGCATGTTTTAGGAGCCAAGAGACAAGGTTTCTGTCATTACAACTGGCTGTGATTGATGATTTGTGATGATCCCAGTGCTGGCTGCAGGGGTGAAGCACCGAGATCCCTCTCTGTCAATGCCAAGAGGATAAAATCTGCCCAGCTTAGTTACCTCGAATCTGATGGCCAAATTGCCACATGGCATGAGGCAGCCACACAGGCAGGACCTGACAAGGATGTAAAGTTTGATTCCCCTGTAGCTTTCCATAGGAGGAAAAGGGGGCAGGTTCCCACTGTAGAACCAATGGGGAGTTGTTCCTCTTCACCAGCTCTGGGGTTCTATGATCCCGCTCCAGATACTGGCCACCCTGTCTGCCAACAGCCGAGCCGGGACCCCCTGGCTATGGCACAGTGCAAAACGGAGCCATGGGAAAGTGAAGGGGGCCTCGGTGGGAGCTAGAGCCGGCAGGTCACTTTCAGGTGGAATGTCTCTCCATCGGAAAATGCCGATTGGGTAAAAGTGAAAAGTTTCACAGAAACGTGTCGCCTTTGACCGTGACGTGTTTGGAAATGAAAACCAACCTTTCAATCGGGGCGCTAGGTTCCATTTTGCCCTTTTAAGAACGGGGCCGTTTCGATTTTCCCCTCGCTAAATGGCTTTTCATTTCGATTTCTCACTTGCCATCGGGCGGTGTAAAACAACACCAGTGTCAAATCAGAATGAAGACATCTGGATGGACCCAAAATACAACTTTTTTTTGTGGGTGTGGAATTTTGGTTCACGGAAAATGTTGATGTTTTTTGTTTTCATTCCAGAATGGAAGAAATTTCAAAATAGTGAAATCCCTCCACAAATGAAAAATCCGGTTCCTGCCCAACAGGAGCTGCTGTGCACTGAGCACTCTGGAAAATTAGGGCCCTTAGTTAGGTGCGTGAATATTCATTTAGGAGCCTAACTTCAGGTCCCTGATTTTTTTTTTTTTTAATAACTTGGCCCTACATCCTTAGTTCGACATCTAGATAAGTGGCCTGATTTTTTCTGAGGTACAGAGGGCTCTGTGCTGTAATTGGAGTCATCACATTGTCATTTTTCTGGGTGAATTTCAGACCAGAATATAACTCTTGGGGGGAATTGGCAAAGGAAAAAAGAACCCTTTGTATCCCCAGTGGAAAGGAATCTGCAGCACGTCTTCTTGGTGTTTACTCAGTCCATGAGTCAGCCTTCCCATGCCCCGCTCCCATTGGAGGGACCATCTCTATCAGGAAGCTTTCCCCAGCCAAGCTTCAGCGTTAGTCTCCAGGCTTCTGCAGCGGGAAGAGAGATTGATTTGAAGGAGGGGAGGAAAAGAAACAGTTTGAAGATCTACCTTTGCCGGCTGTTCCTGTCTAAGTTCCCTGGCCAGCAGAGTCCGTGAAGCGGGAAAGTGTGTGATTCTTTCCCTGCTGGGAACGAAGATACCAAAGCCAAGAAGGATGGGACGGTTTTGCAGAGCGCTGAGTCCAAGAATTCTCCGTATGTTGATTTTCTTTTCCTAAGCTGCTTTTAGCCTGAAAGTGCTGCTGATTCCTGTGCAGGAGCTTTGAAAATTATCCCCCTCTTGAGCCAGCTCTGTCAGTGCTCAGACATCTCCTATCTTCTGTCTTTATTCTACTTCCTTTTCTCTCTTGTCGGGACGTCTGCGTGGGAACAGAGGGCCCAATTCTTGATTGCTCTGCACCTCGTGCCATCAATTACACCAGTGCAAAATGCAACCATTCCAATTTGGTAGCATTTTATACGCAATTCACCCTGGTATAATCAACTCCACAAGGTGCAGGGCATGAGACACGTGGCCCATTTCTTTGCTGCATAGTGGGTGCAAGGGCTGAGTGCCCCCGACTCCCATAGCCCTTGAGGGTTAGGGGTCTGATCTGGCGTTTTCTGAAGCCAATGGAAAGACTCCTATTGACTTCAAGGGGGTTTGGATCAGGCCCTGGGCCTGGTACATGTTCCCTGCTAGAAGTCACGACCCCCAGTCACGACCCCACAATCTGCAGATTGTGACTTCGCTGATTGCAAGGGACTAGGGTGACCAGATGTCCCGATTTTACAGGGACAGTCTCAATATTCGAGGCTCTGTTTTATAAAGGCGCCTTTTACCCCCCACCCCTTGTCCCGATTTTTCATACTTGCTATCTGGTCACCCTACAAGGGACAAAGAAGCCGCAGGAGTGGTAGGGAGCCCGGATCAGTTAATTCTGGACTATTACCAAACAGGAGGCAAGGCAGCCAGAAAGCACCCTTTCTCTGCAGAATTGCCCGTTAATAGAATAGTCCCGGGAGGAGGCCCCCGCAGCTCTGTAACGTTAGATTTCCGCACCTAGAAATGACTAAGTTGCATCTGGAAGCACTTAGCTTTCAAAGGTCTTTTTCTGCTAGCTGGTAACAGCTTGTTGGGTTTGAAATGCTTCCGTCTGAGGAGCAGAGCGCCCCGTGTTGCTGGGAAAGGGGGAGAGAACTGGCTTTTAGCCCTGCTGGGAGGGGTGGGAGGAGACTCTGAGAAGCTACCAAGGGGCCCGGTGCCCCCTGCATGCTGTTGAGCCAGGGGCTGCCCACTGGGATTGGAGTGGGGAGAGTTCAAATTAAGTTATACTGAGATAAGGCCATCTGTCTCTTGAATGAGATCATCCACCTGGAGTCCAGCACACTTTGAATCACCGTAACTTTCCCGAGTGTCTCCGTGCAGACGGGGCCTTAGAGGAGTTTTCTGCTGATCCTTGTGAGGCCGAACGTCCTGAGTCATTGGCGTCCTCTGCTGCCTCCATTCAAGCAGCCCATCCCTGTGCAGCAAAACACGTAAGCATCTGCTTGACTTTTAAGTCCTTGGGACTTAAGCACAGGGGGGGTCTGGTGGACAGAGCACTGGCCTGGAATTCAGAGAACCTGGGCTCTATTCCCAGTTCTGCTACTGCCCCGCTGGCTGACCCTGGGCAAGTCACTGCACTGTTCTGTGCCTCAGTTTCCCCATCTGTAAAATGGGGCTAATGATACAACTGTCCTTTGTAAAGCACCTGGAGAGCCATGGGCAAACCGAGCTAGGTAGTATTATTTATTATAAAAGTTAAGCATGTCCTTAAGTATTTTGCTGAACTAGAGCCTGTAATTGTCCCTGGCAGGGAAGCCTACATGACTGTTTAAGGAAGCAGCTTGTTTTCCTCCTTGAATAACATGATTCATGTGGTGGCTGCTCTGCACAATTTCACCTCTTCCTGTACAAAGAGCTGCTCCTTGTGGGTCCTGTGAGATAACAAAGTGCAGCTGTGACTGGGCGGCTTGAAAGAAGCAGCCCCCGAAAACTGCCCATTCCTGTGTTTGAAAGTGGTGGACAGATCCCTCCAATGTGGCCTTAAAGACAATGGGCCAGATGCACAGCTGGTGTAAATCGACATTGCTCCACTGACTTCCGTGGCGCGATGCTGATTTACCCCAGGGTGTGCTGTGTAACATCTTTCAGACGCCCTCGGCCGGCCAGCCCTCTGCACACCCCATTTCTGCTGGGAGTGTCGTGTGGAGCTGGTATCCCAGAGCAGTGTGTGTGTGCACCACAGAATGCAGCGACAGAGCTCAGTGGGAGAGGGGATGTCAGAGGTGCAGACAGTGGTGGGGGTGGGGAAGAGGTTTATTCAGGGGGAAGTGAGTTGAGAGGGAAAGTGGATGAGCTGGAGGGAAAATCCACTTGCAGCTGCTGGGCCTGGAGGACCCTGCAAGGAGGGCCTTTGGATCCTTCCATCAGACCTTTGCTGTCTCCCACACCATGGATGAAGCTGGCGGTTCAGCGTCTAAACCCTGGGGATCTCTCCCCGTGTTCTGTGCAGGGCCGCCCAGAGGATTCAGGGGGCCTGGGGCAAAGCAATTTTGGGGGCCCCTTCCATAAAAAAAAAGTTGCAGTACCATAGAATACTATATTCTCGTGGGGGCCCCTGTGGGGCTCAGGGCCTGGGGCAAATTGCCCCACTTCCCCCTCCCCCTTTGGGCGGCCTTGGTTCTGTGCAGACCTTGCAGCTCCACCATGCAGAAGCTTTGTGCCTCACCGCTGGCTCCTTGGACCCTCCAGCTCTGTCACAGTGCAGTTATGGTGCCCCCCGCTCCGGCCTCCTCCGCCTCCCACTGCGGAGGACCCACCACCGCCGCTGCCTTCAGTGGGCCCCCGTTTTGCCCACGGGTGTCCGTGTTTGGAGCTGTGATTAGAGGTCGGGAGGTTCTGGAGCCTCAGGCCATCAGAACGACCATTAGCAAGCGGACCTGTTTAAAGAGGCTCTCCTGTGGAAACGGTGAGACACAGCAGGCCATGTGACCTAGTGTTGCTCCATGGCACAAAGCCCACCCGGAAACCCCTGTGGATTTCATTCCCCCTGGTGGGATATTTTTAAGAATTCTGCACTTTACAATCAATGTGGGGGCGGGAATCAAAGTGCCCCAGTGAGTGTGATTGCTCACAAACGTGTCCTCTCCCTCGCAGTAGGGTATGGCAGAGGAAACTCATTTGAATTGAGCTGCGCTGAGGCAAAACGCAGCGGAGGTCAGAATCAGTCCCAGATCCTGGAGTTGGATCCATGAGTGGATCCTTTTCCCCATTCTGAGCCCCATTGAAAGCAATGGGCCAGTTCCCCAGCTGGTGTATGAACTAGTGTAACTCCGTGGAGTTGCGCTGAGTTACACCACCTGCACATCTGCCCCACTGACTTCACTGGGGCTGTATCCAGACACAGGGGGTGACCCACATTCATCCAACGTGAGATCAGGACCAATGAATGTATTTAGGGCCTGATCTTGAGATTGTTGAGCAGTCACAAAGCGGTGAGAACTCTGAATGGTGAGCAACTCTCAAAAACAGCCCCTTGGAATCCGCCCCATCTGTGCCTTTGGGTGCTAGGTCCGTTCGCTCTCTGGAGAGGTGGTAAGCATGCACATATACAAACATGCATATCATAAAGTAAAATAAGCCCGTGCTTCCCGCAAGTGTCCCGTGTTGTCCTCTCTAATGTGAGATGGTGGAAAAACTCAGCCCGAAGATGGCCAGGTTTATGGAGTGGTAACCGTGACATTTCCTAAAGCTACAGTGCTTTTTTTTCCCTTCAGTCATGAATTTTTTTCCTCGTGGGACTCAGCTTACGCTTTGCATTTTTAAGCAGTAAGGAATGTGCGTTAGAAACGGTCATCTGTAAAGAATCCAGAGATCAGAGCTCATGCAATGTGTTACAGTAGGAGATACCACTTCCTAGTTTGTTCCTCTAACCCTCATGGAAAAGATCTATAGAATTTAATAGAAAATAATACCTTTTTGCAAAAGGTTTCTTTTATTAATAATAGTTTTTATATAGCATTTTTCATCAGTAGATGTCAAAGCACTTTGTGGTGGAATTACGTATTGTTATCCCCATTTACACATGGGGAAACTGAGGCACAGGGCAGTGATGTGACTTGTCCAAGTCACCCAGCAGGCTAGTGGCAGAATCAGGAATACACCCCAGATCTCCTGAGTCCCGGTCCAGTGCTCTACCCACTAGATCACATTGCCTCCTTTTTAAAAACCATTGTATGGGATTCAAAGAAAATTCTACCCTGGCTATAGGATTCTTTAGGATGGCTCCCAAAATCTATAGAAGGAATCTCATTCTTTATTATATTTTTCATTCTCTGTTCAATTCTATAGGAGTTTAGAGTTGATTCTATAGACCCTATTACATTTCTATAGAACCCTATTAGTTACATGCCAATTAAAGGATTCCTTTCCTTAAAGGAAGTTTTATTAGCAGACATTGTCTTTGAAAGGAATGATGTGACTTTTCAGTTGTGTATTAGGGACCTGATCCAGGAGTTTAATGAGCTTTGGATCAGATACTAGCAACCTACATTTAAAGAAGTAGTGCAGTCCTGTTGTGCACAGAACAGGTATCATGTGCTTCTTTCCTTGTAATATGTGATCACCGTTAAACGGGGCACTGCATAAGGGAGTGAATTGCTCAGGGAGACAAATTGTGGGTTTACAAAGCATTTAATTAATCTCTAGGTCACTGGTGCAGACCCAGCTCACGTTGGCAGTAATTGAAGTCTGTCTCCAGCCAAAGGGTGTTCATTGACTACAGTTCAATGAGATGATGGACCTCTATTCAGTTTCTGACAGACGAGTAGCTATCTCAAACCCTCTGGCTCTGTGCAGGTCTTGGAGATCAGAGCTCGTGCAACTTCTTACAGTAGGAGATACCACTTTCGAACTCGTTGCATTAACCGTCATGGAAAAGACCTATAGAATGTAATAGAAAAAAATACCTTTTCCATAAGGTTTTTTTTTATTGATTATACTAGTTTTTTACATAGCCCTTTTCTTCAGTAGATCTCGGAGCATGTTATAGTGGAGTTAGATATTGTTATCTTCATTTATAGATGGGGAAATGGAGGCACAGGGCGGTGACGTGAAGAAAAGTAAAGTAGAAGTTGCAGATGCTTATAGGTGTGTAGGTGGCCCCTATTAA